CCTGAGTTGTTAATTTCAGCCATTCAGATAGGTATGAGGTGATATCTCATTGTGGCTTTGATTTGTATTTTCCTGATGATGAGTGACGTTGAGTATCTTTTCATGTCTATTAGACATGTGGATGTCTTCTATGGAAAAGTGTCTATTCATGTCTTTTACCCATTTCTTCAATGGATTATTTGTTTTTTCGGTGTTGAGTTTGATAAGTTCTTTATATTTTATACATTTTGGAAACTAACCCTTTATGTGATATGTCATTTGCAAATATCTACTCCCATTCCATCATCCATTTGTTGATTGTTTCCTTCGCTGTGCAGAAGCTTTTTATCTTGATGATAGATCATTTTTGGTTTTGTTTCCTTTGCCTCCAGAGACATGTCTAGTAAGAATTTGCCATGGCTGAGGTCAAAGAGGTTGTTGCCTGTTTTCTCTTCTAGGATTTTGATGGTGTCCTGTTATATATTTAAATCTTTCATCCATTTTGAGTTTATTTTTTGTGTATGGTGTGAGAAAATGGTCCAGGTTCATTTTTCTGCATGTCGCTGTCCAGTGTTCCCAGCACCATTGTGGGTCTATTTCTGGGTTCTCTATTCTGTTCCACTGATCTATGTGTCTGTTTTTGTGCCAGTACCATACTGTCTTGATGATTATAGCTTTGTAATACAGCTTCAAGACCAGGATTATGATGCCTCCAGCTTTGATTTTCTTTTTCAGAATTGTTTTGGCTATTTGTGGTCTTTTCTGGTTCCATACAAATTTTAGGATTGTTTGTTCTAGCTCTGTGAAGAATGCTGGTGTTATTTTGATAGGTATTGCATTGAATATGTATATTGTTTTGGGTAGTATTGACATTTTAACAATATTTGCTCTTCTGATCCAGGAACACAGAATATTTTTCCTTTTTTGTGTGTGTCTTCTTCAATTTCTTTCATAAGCTTTCTATAGTTTTCAGCGTATAGATCTTTTACCTCTTTGGTTAGGTTTATTCCTAGGTATTTTATGGGTTTGGTGCAATTGTAAATGGGATTGATTCCTTGAATTCTCTTTTTGCTACTTCATGATTGGTGTATGGAAATGCAACCAATTTCTGTACATTGATTTTATATCCTGTGACTTTACTGAATTCATGTATCAGTTATAGCAGTTTTTTGGTGGAGTCTTTTGGGTTTTCCATGTAGAGTATCGTATCATTTGCAAAGAGTGAAAGTTTGACTTCTTCCTTGCTGATTTGGATGTTTTTTATTTCTTTTTGTTGTCTGATTGCTGAGGCCAGGACTTCCAACACTGTGCTGACAACAGTTGTGATAGTGGACATGCCTGTCGTGTTCTTGACCTTATGGGGAAAGCTCTCAGGTTTTCCTCCTTGAGGATGATATTAGCTGTGGGTCTTTCATATATGGCTTTTATGATCTTGAGGTATGTTCCTTCTTTCCCTTCTTTCCTGAGGGTTTTTTATCAAGAAAGGATGCTGTATTTTGTCAAATGCTTTTTCTGCACTCATGTTAATCACACTTAACCTGTTTCTGAGCTTGGTCTGTTTTCTCTTGCTTTAGAGTTGTTCCCAAATGGTATTTGGCTGCTCTTTCAAAGTTTCCCCCCACCTCAGTCCATCTCACCTTCTACTCCAGACCTCTAAAAGAACAGAAGATAAATCTTTTATCCTTGGGGAGATACAAAAGTATGTCCTACATGTTTGAGCAATAGCCTTCTTTCTCAGTCTTCATTTTAGTCTCTTGCTGGTCACACTGATCTCCCCAACTTCTAACCGTAGAGCAGTCCCAGGATCATCCCTGAGCCTTGTCTCCATCTACTCACACTCCCTAGAAGTCATTAAGAGTCATGGCTTTAATGCATCCCATACACAGATAACTCTCAAGTTTTTATCTCCAGCTGGGAGTTCTCCTCTAAACTCCAGAGTTACCTGCCTGCACCAAGACTGTTCTACTTGGTTTTCCAATTGATACCTCAAACTTAATGTGTTTAACACTGTGAACACCTGATTTACTTTCCAACCTGCTTCTGCATTGTCTTTACTATCTCAGTTAGTGGACTCACCTTTTGGAGTCTAAGTCAAGTATTTATATATTTCTTAACACCTGCATTTAATCTGTTAGCAAATCCTATTGGCTCTTTCCTCCAAATATACTCAGATTCCAACTCTTCTCACCCTCTACTGTCCCTGCCTTTGTCCAAGATGCCATCATTTCTCATCCAGATTAGTGCAATACCCTTCTAACAGGTTACCCTGCTTTTTTTTTTTTTCAGGTTTCTGATACCCTTTGATCTTATCAGTGGGGTCTTTCCAATCAACTCTTTTTTTAAATATGAAATTTATTGTCAAATTGGTTTCCATACAACACCCAGTGCTCATCCCAACAGGTGCCCTCCTCCTCAACGCCCATCACCCACTTTCCCCTCCCTACCACCCCCATCAACCCTCAGTTTATTCTCAGTTTTTAAGAGTCTCTTATGCTTTGGCTCTCTCCCTCTCTAACTTTTTTTCCCCCCTTCCCCTCCTCCATGGTCTTCTGTTAAATTTCTCAGGATCCACGTAAGGGTGAAAACATATGGTATCTGTCTTCTTCTGTATGACTTATTTCACTTAACATAACACTCTCCAGTTCTATCCACATTGCTACAAAAGGCCATATTTCATTCTTTCTCATTGCCAAGTAGTATTCCATTCTGTATGTAAACCACAATTTCTTTATCCATTCGTCAGTTGATGGACATTAAGGCTCTGTCCATAATTTGGCTATTGTTGAAAGTGCTGCTATAAACATTGGGGTACAAGTGCCCCTAGGCGTCAGCTCTCCTGTAGCCCTTGGGTAAATGCCTAGCAGTGCTATTGTGCCTCTCCTCATCAGGGAAATACAAATCAAAACCACAGTGAGATATCACCTCATGCCAGTCAGAGTGACTAAAATGAACAAATCAGGAGACTATAGATGCTGGAGAGGATGTGGAGAAACAGGAACCTTCTTGCACTGTTGGTGGGAATGCAAAGTGGTGCAGCCGCTCTGGGAAACAGTGTGGAGGTTCCTCAAAAAATTACAAATAGATCTGCTGTATGACCAAACAACTCTATTTAAAATAGCATCCCAGTGATCCCTAAATTCGTTCCCCACTTGTTCTTCCATAAACTTTACCATTAGACAAATATTACAGAATACTTCTTTGTATATTTCATCTCTCCCTACCTAGAACATGAGCTTCAAAAGAGTAAAGATTTTTGTCTGTTTCTCTTTTTTTACTGCTTTATCTAGAGCTGAGAGTAGTGCCCAGCACATGTTAAAAGTTTATTTATTTTTAGATGCATTATGCATGAAAGGCAATATGTCTAGAATACCTGCAAAGACTTCTTTGTGGCAAACAATACACACCTGAAATTAAATTAGTATGGTTAAGATATCAGTCATGTTTTGTGTATTTAAAAATATTTTCAGAGCCAGAAGATCCTCAAAAAATAGGAGACCCTCGTATATGACACATTTTCAGAGCCAAAGATACTTTTCTAGGAGGTTTGATTAAAGGTGCCTCCTCAAGTTGATGTGTGGCCTTCAGCAGTATGATTATATGTGCACTTCTAAACCTCTAGTGAAATGTCCCTAGACTCGGTATCTGTAGTTCAGCAATGTCATTGTGCCTTTGTGACACGTCAGTGGTCTGACAGCTGGGCAAGCTGTTTAGTCCATTGTGAGCTTAAGCTATAAATTGGTGATGGCAGTAATAATAATAAGGAGCTCACAAGGTACTGGTGAGTGTCAGCTAAGATTTTGGGCATGTTTTACAAAACCTTAAACATGCTACAAATGTAAGAAACCTGAGAAAATGTTACAAATTTAAGGATGAGGACCCTCAGGCTAAGTAAAGATATGAAAATTAATAAGTTCAGTTTCATGATTCCCTTACCACAGAACTTTTCTTTACTATCAGATTTATTCAAACTTGATTGAAGGAATTATTCTTGCTGTTTGAGAGAATCCTTTAGGCAGCCTGAAAATAATTTCAGGATGTTAAAATCCCAGACAGTATTCCAGGTTCTCTAAATGGGTGTAGTTTTTCAGTGACCAGTCAGATCAAAGCCCCGCCCCCTCCTCTTCTGGCCAGGTTTATTTTTCTACTGTTTTAAGAAATTAATCTTCCACAAGCCCAACAGGTAGCTAAAACAGAACACATATAAGATGGAATGAAAGCTTTCAGGATATTGATACTGATGTAGGCCTCAAATCTGCTTTGGGACTTGAGTGTGAATGTCTACACTGACCAAGTGGGCTGTATTTCCTTCTCTATTACCATTGTCACTCACCTGCCTATCATTGATTATCATCTTAGTGCTAAGGATTCTACTCAGCAATTGATGTATGTTATTCTTTTTATACTTTATCAAATCTGTGTGTGGTAAGTATTATTATCCTCATTTTATATTGGAAGAGATTTGAACTCGAGGCGGGGGGGAGCATTATTTTTCTAAACAGGGAGATGACAGAATCAGACTGTAGATTCAAATCTAATTTCAAAGCTCATGGTTCTGTTATCACACAAGTCTCTTTTCTGGCAGCCAAGCTCCGTTTTCATTTTGTAAGTCCACTTTGGTAATAGAGTTCCCCTGAAGGTGGAGAGTCTCAAAAAAGGGTGGGGGGTGGGCAAAGAAAAAAAAAAAAGACAATAGAAATTATAGATTTCTGTTTCTATTGTATATATTATACAATATATTGTATATCTTAATACAAAGGTTAAGAGTTGGAAGAAGAGGTATTTCTTATATTCTTATCACAAAATTTTATTTGGACATAGGCTACTCTAACCTGGTCTTGCCTAATTTTGTTAAGACTTTGGAAGATGAGTGTGATCATTGCCCTGGCCTCCTGTGGGTTAGAGTTTAGTTGGAATATTACTAAAAGTTCTTGTTACTATTTACTCTTAAAGTGTCTAACAAATGTATTATCTAAAAATAAAAGTATTCTTAGATCCCTGTATACTCTACAAATAGAGTTGATGGATATATCCTTCTTTGTGTTTCTTTCAGACCCTTGGTAAAACCCTACTGGGCTATTTGCTTCTTTTACACATATAGTTCAGCACAGAATTAAAAGAAGGTGAAGCCTATATATATCATGGCCCAGCTTCTAGCTCGCCTCTGGCCTTGCTGGTTCTTATTAATGATTCATTTCTTTTGACAGGAGCGGCAACATTTCAGGACTTCTTGGGTGGAAGAAAGTTGGCAGAGAGAAAGTCCACGGTGAGTAGTTAAACATTATATGAATTAATAACCCCCATCAATAGTTTAATGGATGAAATGCATTGATTGCTTTGAGAATTATGCTGAGGTCTACAGTAATAAGCAGAAATGTCTGATTTGACATCTTTTTTTTTTTTTTTTAATATGTCTGCAACGTAATCTACTACCAATTACACAACAACCCCACCGAAGGAGTGCTGAGTGGTCCCACTACAGTAGTAACATGTTGTAAAAGCTCGGGTTTCAGGACAATTAGCTTCTGGCTGCAGTTTATTACCCCATTTGAGATTTAAAACATTTTTTTTCCATTGCATTCCAACAATGCTTATGTGTCTGGGGCTAACACTTTAAAACAATAATGGAATGGCAAATATCTGTCTGGCTGGCGTTTGTTCAAGAAGAAGGGTGTATTAGCATTAAAAAATCAAGCAAGGCAGAGTGGACAAAACAAAAGCAACTTACTTAATTTCTCAAAATGACCAGGGTTGTAATGTTTACCAAGAAAAAAAAAATGCCTTTCATTGGCATTTTGTAGAAAATTCAAGAAATATTTTGGAGAAAGGGATCATTCCTGTTTATTTAAAGGCAATTTCCACATAATAAAAAAGTAGTCCTTTGATAATTCTCATATCCATCTATATGTTTGGTGATCATCACCAGATTTCTGCCCTAAGATATATGAATCTCTTTTAATTGGCTGGTACAACAAAAAACCGGCCATCAGGAATTTTTCAGATGATGATGATGATGATGGTGGTGGTGGTGGTGGTGGTGGTGGTGATGATGATGATGAAGAATGATGATGATGACAACAGTGGACTTTATTGAGCATCTATTCTGTGGCCAGGTACCGTGCTTAACACTTTCCTGGGATGGTCTCATTTAATCATCCTAAATATCTCTTGAGTTAGGTACTATTGTTTCCCCCATTTTACAGATGAGGAAGTTGAGTCTTCCAGAGTCTAAGAATTGGAGGGTTTGGGGGCTAGCAGTAGGTCTGTAGACTGGTGCTTTTGAAAATGAGTCTAGAGGCTCAAAACAGTATGCAGTACTGCCCGGTCATGGTGGTGGTGGAGATGTTTGTGGTGAAGATGATGAAGGCAATGGTAGGAGACCTGGGGAGCCTTCTTGTCAATCTCTTATATATTCGATAACTTTCTTTCCTCCAGGAATCTGAGCCATTTTCTCTCCTGTCTGTTTCCTTTCTGCCAATGTCTATTTTGAATTATTTTATACTAATCCTGTTTTTTGCCTCCTGTCTTTCACACTGTGTGATCTGGTACTTCTTGTGGCTATTAAGGAGCTGAGTTGAGTGGGTGAAATGGGAAGGTGAACCCTATCTCAGTAATTGCTCATTAAGACAGTTTACTTACAGGCCCCCACTTTCAGTGAAGAGTGAGAGTGTCATGGAAATGGGATTCCAAGAGCTCACTTACCTATGTAGTCAATCTACAGTATTCGTTCTTTGACACCTTTCTCACCTCAGATTTTTAAACTTCTAACTTTGGATGTAATCAAGTCTAGAGAGTAACCCACATGAGTGTGATGTTTCTCCATCTAAGGCTGTGTGGTAAAATCTGAATTTTGATATGACGTATGTACTTGTATCATTAAAATCAAACCTTTTTTATCCCTTGGAAAAAAGGATGCTTTCTGTGAATTAAAATATTAACATGTAGAAAATTATGAAGAGAACTTATGCAAAAATGAGTCAAGTGCAGTAAATAAAATAAGTGAATTAGCAAGTAAGCAATAATATTGTGTTGACCTAGAGCATATAGCGCATTACTGACTTTCTCCTGATATCAGCTCAGGTCAGGATATTTCCCACCAAGGTGTGTTGGTATGTGATGCTTTAGGCACAGGAAGGGTGCATCTCCTTAAAACAGATGGCTTTTCTTTGTTCTTATTCTCCTCAGGCTCTTCATAGTGCCTGGCATGTTGGTTTCCCACTCTAGAATGGCTGGAGAAGGAACCAAGTGTTTTTCTCCATTTAGGCAGTACTATTGCCCTCTGCTGAGGTCAGCTTTGGTTCTGTGCTTGGAGTCTTTTTTCATGTGGGTCCAGTCTCCATGATGTCAGGTGATCGGGCCTTTGTGTCTTCTGCCTAGAATGCCATTCCCCATTTCGTCTGTTTGGAAAATCCCTATTTATTCTTTGAGATGCTGCTTCAACTTCAAAACTGCTGCTTGTAGCTTCCCCTCCTCTCCTCTCTTTTCCTTTCCCCAGATAGAATTGCTTTCTCGCTTGTGTTTCCCTAACACTGTACGTATCACATTGCACTATAAATATTTGTTTTGTCTTTCTCTACTATGAGACTGTAGGGCCTCTTATGGGGGACTCTGGCTTATTCACTCCTTTTTTGTATCTGCAGCACATAGCAAAATGTAAGGTCCATGTTAGGTTTGTGATAAATGTTTCTTGTCCTGCGCTGAAGTTCTGTGCCTCTGATTGTGTGTTCCACCATCGAAAGTTATTATATATTATAATATTTATAATCCACATACAGTACAGCAGATACTAATCCAGGAGCCATAATGTTGGATTATCTGTCATTGTTTTGTAACTGCTTGTATATCAGTTTTATCATCTGTAAACTTTGAGGAATTGATCCAATTCATTTGCTTTTCATTCATTCATCAGTTGATTCATTAATTCATTCAAGATAAATTGATTACGTACCTACTTTGCCCCCGATATTGGACTAGGTAACTTCTTCAACATAAAATGTCACATTTTTAGTTTGAAATACTGTGCATTTTACTTAGAACACAAAAAGGTTTGGATCTGTGTAGACAATAGAGTTAATTTAACAACAATGCTATTATAAGCTGTGCTACTAAGAGCACCGATAGACACAGTTTTGAATATAATTCAAACTAAGATAACAGCATTTAGTTTGTGAATCTCATTAATGCTTCAAACCATATTATTTGTATCAACTAATCTTAAAATATCAGTTCTCCCAGTGATCACAGAGTAGGATTTCTAAGTTCCTTTGTAGTGTTTGGTTTACCTTCTTAAATAAGCCAGAATATTGACTCAATGTGTATTTTATAAATTTAAGCAGATGTGGAAACTCTTCAGACTTAAGAAAATCTGTACATTTGTTCAGCAGCTATTTACCGAGTGCTGAATATGTGCCCAGTGTTATTTACTGAGTGCCTGCTATGTGCCTAGTGTTAAAATATATGCCCAGGATTAGAAGGTCAACAAAATGGGTCTCTGTCTTTGAGAAGTTTACAGATTTATGGGGAGAAACATGGATGTAAACATATCATGATGGAAGACTATGCAGATTTTAGCAGAGAGGAAGAAATGCGCTCAGGTTTGGCCGAGGGTAGGGTGGGGCCAACAGACTTGTCAGAAAAAAGTCTTCATAAACTGTCCTGGTTTCTAGTCTTGGTTCTTCATATCAGTAGATGATACTTGGGGTGAATGTCAAGAAATGTGTATGCCCCCAGGCTGCCAATGCTGGGAGGAAGGAGAACATTCCAAGAGAAGGGAGAAGGATGAGCGGTAGCAGATGAATGTGAAATAATACATCATATTTAGGCAACTAGATAATATGTCATCATGGTTAGAGAGAAAGGGACAAGCTTGGTTTCAGGGATATCTAAGGCTATAGAGTAAACATTGGCGGGAGTTTGTAGTCTCTTGGCTACGATGAAAGAATACCAACTATATCCTGTACTGTACATAGAGGGACATCCAGGACAGTCTTACACAGTAGAGCGAGGTGATCATTTTTCAAAAACTACTAGAAACATAAATGTGATCGAAAAATACTTGCTAAATCTTAAAATCTGAATTTGGAAACTTAGACATACTTGTGTTTTCTTCTATAAGCGTTTGTGCTGAGTTATTTTTTTCAATGAATGGGAATTATAATACTCAAATGAGATCACATTATGGAGACAAAATTGGGAATGGGGTCTTCCATTCTATCAAAATCTTCCTTCCATACCTAGCATTAGGCCTTTATTAAGTTACTAAATTCTGTTTTGTTTTGTTTTGTTTTTTTACCTCTGGAGAAATTGCAGTCTAGTATTTAAGATCACCTCTTAATGGAGGTTAAAATAAAGGCTTGGATTTTGCCCCTCAAACTTCAGTTTATGGAAAAAGAAGGCAGAAAAATGAACCACATAGATTTAGACATTTTTAGTGAGGAAAATAAATATTGACTGGCTATATTAGCTTCAAGTGAAAACATATCAATTGCAGATTTTTTAAATGCCAAATCACAGCAATTGATCTAGTAAAAATGAGTTTTTCCCTAACAGTTACTTAAGGGTTATTGATAAGTCAGTAGTAAATAGGAAACACCAAAATTGAGGCCTTCTGAACTAATAATGTCAACTCCATTAACCATTTGTTGAGAGATTTTACCATACAAATGCTTTGAAAAATTTTTAATCTTTCAAGAGAAAAAAGTAAAATTTCATCATATTGCTTTTCATTGGAATAATGCAGTGACTCCCTCAGTGGTTTGTGACCTCAAATCTTTCCCTCGTCTAATCTATCTGTGCTGTGTTAGCTATAGAGCTCATCAATATGAAATCACACAAACCTCATTTTTAATCTTGGTTCTGCAAGTTTTTCACTATATGAGTCTCTGTTTTGCTATCTGTATGATTGAAATAACAATACCTATTTGAAAAGAATGGGGAGCGTTGTAAGGATTAAGTGGAAACTCTTAGGTATAGGGTCTTGTGCTCTGTAGGTCTGGAACACATATTTATTGAGTAAAACAATGGCACACTTTGGCTAATGTTTAACTTTTCAACTAAGTTTATTATTTGTAGTTCTAAGCTAACTGTACACAATAAGGTAGATCCAGGTATAAAAATGATTTCATTTCTAATAGCTGGATTGTGAAAATCCTCAAATTGTTGTATATGGAACACTATGAATGGAAATATTTTCAGGACATCCTGAAGCTCTTAATGCTGAATATTTACACATGATTGCTTGTGGACAATTTGCTTCCAAAGAGGAAA